TCCTTTCTGAGACAGAGGGGAGACATTTGCATCTCCCATTTGCTACTCAGTTGTACTTTCTACCAGCTGTGGACAAGGGCGATGCAGAGGCTAACTTTTAGCCCGGTGGGACCAGTCTTCCTGAGGATCTTTCCAATTATCAGGGAACATCTCTCGTTTCCCTCTTCTTCAAAGGCTGCTTAGAGCAGAAGCTGTAGTTTTAGCTGTTCTAAATCACCTTGAGCAGCTAAAGAGCCTTTCTTTGCACAGACTATAGAGCTAAGCTGAGGAAACTTGGTGCATGGGTTGAAATAAGGATTGTGAATATCTCCATTTTAACTTCTCTGTTTTTCCCGGTCTCATCCCCTTTGAATAGTGTGTCTAGTCTTGCTGTTGAAATGAAGCTGCTTTTTGGCCAGGTATGCAAGGCTTTGAGACCAAGACAACAAAGTTTCTGACTCTTCTGCAGACTGTAGTCACTTGCAGGGGAGGACACCTTAAGTTCTATTTTTTCTTCTCATTGCTGTTGATTTTGTCCAACAGCTCTGCACAAAATACACAGGCGGCTCTGGAATAGTTCTGGAGAAGAACATTGGGCTGTGGTAGGCATGGAAAGGAAATGATGCAGAGTTTGTCAGTGAGTAGTAGACATGTCATCAAGGTATTCCCTAGCTAATTATAATTTCATCTACACCCAGAGTTCAGATGTACAACCAAGTTTTCGTAACGGTGTTTTCCACCCATCAGCTGAGCCATTCAATATGTTTTCTTTGGTTTAAGCCAAGACCATTTTTAGATGATCATTGCAGGAGGGATCTAGCAGTCTGAGAAACAAGGTGTCCTCATCTGCTCGCTTCTGCCCCTCTTCTTCCCACCAGAGGTTAGCATCCTAAAGCTGAGCTGGAAGAAGAGAATGTGCAGTATCCTTCATTGCTTCCATGTCAGTCATACACTGTAATTTGATTCACTGCTGATGGCGCTTTGAGGTTAACTGTGCACAGGCGCAGATTAGGGAATTCTCAAAAGTTTCCTTCTACCTGGTGAGTTCTAGGGTTTGATCACCTCCAAATGCTAGTGATCACCTCCAACCTGGGGAACTAACATCTCCGTTGCTCTAGCTAGGTCTGGAAGTAAGTGTCTTTTAGCTATATTGAAACAGTCCTAACAGTGCAAATTTTGGTTTAGTTTTCTCAAATATACGAGGAGTGTTTGCTGACATGTTGCAGGTGCATCACACCTTTGGATTTGCGTCTAGACAAAGCCTAAGTGTTTATACAGAGACTAGCACAGTGAAGAGTTGATCTCAGCCAGAGCTTCTATGTTATTATCATGTAAGAATAAAAAGAGCTAAAATGCTATGAGAATAATATAAAAGTAGGCATATTTGTGATCCTCTGACCTCACAGATGCCAGATGTACTGATTTTGGAAAACTCTTCAAAGGGAACCTGAATTCAGCTTACATACTTCTCATTTGTAGGAAAATCAAGACTATATATATTTTGTGTGTGTGTATAAAAGAAATATAAATGAATTTATATTTTGGGGAATAGAACAGCTGTTTCTGCTTCTCCTTCATCTGCTTACTAAAGTGTTACACGTTCTTTCCATTATGCTGGTGCTGTAGCTTAAGTCAGAGAATAAAAGTATGCTACGGCCTTGGTAAATGATCACCCCATGGCTTTAGCTGTTTTCAGGATTACCTGACGTATATATCAGACAGAGTAATAATGTCTTCGGTATCTTTCCCTTTCTTGTTTTTCAGTATAAAAATGTTATTTCTTCTTTCCCCACACATGGAATCATTTTCACGTTTTAGTTCCAGATGTTTATAGATGAGCTTTCCATGATCTGAGCTCAAAATCAGTATCAGCTGGAATTTTAAAGATAGGGGTATTTTCAAACCTTGTTGGGTCACAAGCTCTTCCAGTATTTTTCTCCAACAAGAGAGCTTTTTTGCTTGTTTAGAGTCTTTTCTGCAGTTTTCTTTCTTCCTTAAGCATCCCATTCTCACCTTATTTTCCAGAAATAGCCTCCTTCTCTTCTGTGGAGAAGATGGATTTTAATATGCTACACCACCATCCTCTTTTTCAAGAGCTTTGAGTGTTTTCACCATTTTTTCAAATAGTTGATTGTATTTTTTTCAAACAGTTGATTAAGTGGTAATTGATATTCTTGTAATTGATAGTCTCTACTCCCTTCAGCAAAGCATAGTAACTTTTCTCTGAGGGTTGTTAGTCGTGCACTGGCTTCAGAGAGAAACTGGTTTATGAAGTTATTTCCACTTCACGACTATGGGTCACAGTTCTTTCAGTTGTGCTGATGCATCTGGTTTTAGAATTGAATCACTGAGTGACATTAATTGGGGGGGAAGTAATTTTAAAAGGAATCATCTCAGTGATGCAATTTACATTACAGCTATACAAATAGGTTTATCAGCACAATTGAGAAGGAGGCAGATTGCACCAGGAGGATCAGAATTAGCAGCTGGAGAAGAAAGCTTGTTGAGGGAAAATTGCTCAATTGTTGTTAGAGGAGCTGAGCCGTTTCCTTTGTTTTCTGTTGTTAGGACTGCCTTCCTGCTCCACCTTCACCCTCTTCCCCTATTTTAGGTCAGTTCTATTTTTTTAAAAGTCTTTTGTCAGAAAGTATTGAAAACGTTCATCTTGTGTATGAAGGTGTTTAGTTTCCAGGTTGTTGTGACAGCAAGGTGACTTCTGACTCCAGACACAGCGGCGACGATGGATCTCTTGATTTTCCTCCAAGTCGTCTTTTGTGAAAGTTTTGAAGAAAAAATGTGCTTAGATTGAGCTAATATTTATATGCTAAGGGTCAGAGAATTCCATCTGGGTTAGCTCTTTGTGGTGTGTGAGAGAAATAGCAGATAGCACTATTTGCCATTAATTTGAAGACCTATTAAAAGTAGAGCATTTCCTTCAGTTGTAGCTGTGGGTGTTTTCCCGTGCAGAAGATGGGGCGGTGTGTCTGTGTTCTCTATTAGTGTCAGGGTTTCACTCATGCCAGAGTTGCACAGCGTCCTCTGAAGACTGACAGTTACCAGGTTGGTTTACCTGGGGAAGATCATTCACACATCCTTGGTCTGACCACTTCAAAGGTGCTAAAATAGGACAAATAGACATGCAATAAAGGGGGGGAAAAAAAAAGTTTTGAACTATTTCCCCCAAAACAGAATGGCTCTGGGGAGAAAAACACCTTTCAGAAATCATTCTGTGAAGGTGCTAGCAAGCATGCTGCAAGTACTTGAAAGGCATGAGTTAGCCAAAGTGAAATACCATCTGTCTGTCGTATGGCTAATCAGATACAGCAATTCTTCCCAAGCTTTTTCCTTGGAAAGAGTCAGGAAAAAAAAGAAACCTAAATTTGCTCTGTTTGAAGTTCTCTTAGTAAGTACAGTGTTTTGCTTGCTGTGGAACATGAACTCTTGAGAATCTGTGTTTCTTGCTGATATTTTACTACCAAAGAACTAAACATACAAAGCAGGAAGCAACCCCCCCACCTCAGAAAAAAAAGCCATGTGCACACCGTTTCCACACTTAAGATATTTAGCTCCAGTTTGTTTTGGGCTATACTCTTTATTGAAAATTAATTTCTTCCAAAAGGTTTTCTTTTATTTGCCAACCAGTGTTTGAAGAGTGGGTCTCAATTTAAACTATTATTGTAGAATATACTACCAAACATTTGAGAACTGTGTTTATTAAAGGTATCATGTTAAGTCATTGTGTTTCTGAGAATAGTTTAATTTGTGTGCAGAATGTTTGTGTGGCAGTTTTTCTTTTTTTCCCCTGCTCCTCTGACATGAATGCTTGAGCTGCCCTTGGACTGGTCCTTATGAATAACACAGTGTGGTGGTGTTTGGTTGTGGGGGGTTTTTTGTTTGGTTTTTTTCTTTCTATTTTACTGATGGGGAATTGCTTATATGCAGTTGTATCATTTGTGTCCACAATAAATGTGGGAGGAAAGGGTCACAGATCTCTGTAAAAAACAAGTTCTAACACGAGCACACAATACTAAAAGATAATCATACTTTGAGGAATCTCAACATTTTAGCTTTTTTTTCTTCTAAAAAATGTACAGAGATATAAAACTGACTTATCTTCCTTCAGAAAAAACAGTGTATTTTCTAAATGGAAATTGGCCAAAGAGGTGTGAAAATGAACTGCATCTGGCAGTTGGAAGAATTTGAAAAATTTCTTTTTTGTTGGGTGTTTAGATGAATAACCTTAACTGGAATTTGGGGGAAAAAAAAACCCGACCAAACCTTTTTTTGAAAGGCCACTGACTCGCTTTGAAAACCGCCTAAGAGCATAGTCAGATGTTTGTTTGGAAAACAGTTGCAGTGATAAGGAGAAGTTACTTCTCCTCAACTGTGGTACATAACTGACTTGCAAACTCTTCATTCCCTGCAGTACAAGATCAGACGGGTTCCTGTAAAGCGCTGCCAAGTTTTCTATTATCCTTAGCGGTTGAATCACCAATGCAGTTAAGCTGATTAAAGTCATATTTGTCAAGGACTTCTATGAGAAACACATATCCAGCAAACAAACATAATTTGGTGAAATTATTTAAGCGTAACTTGTATTTAAAGTATTAGGAAAGATTACAAACTAAGTTATTGTCACTTTGCATAAAGATTGAGATTCCTAGACGTGCCACAGTTACATTTATTTTACATATATTTGCAATGAAAATCAGGTTTAGCATTTGCACTTCGCCATTATTTATTAAATATTGCCGTAAGAGGAACTTAATACCTCTTTTTAAGGCATTTCTTCCAATAAGAATTATTTCTTGTATCCAGATAGTTCTGAACTAGTTACGTTTGTATCAGCACAGGTCAGAAGAGAGGAAAAGGCAGATAGGTCTTATGGTTGAAATTTGTGTTAAATCCAATATTCTTTCTTTGGTTTGGATCTGCAGTAGCACCTAACTCAGTGAGGGCTGTTGGTGTGCTAATGTAAAGAGTCTTGCATTTAATTGTTTTCTAAAATGTGTTGTTTCTAGGTCTACAGACAAGACTGTGAAACCTTTGGCATGGTAGTGAAGATGCTAATTGATAAAGATCCATCGTTAGAGAAGTCCATTCAGTTTGCCCTGAGGCAGAATTTGCATGAAATAGGTGAGCGATGCATTGAAGAACTCAAACATTTCATTGCTCAGTACGATGCTGCCAATCAAGATCTGTCAGAATCCTTCAAAGAGGGCTCATACTAAGGACAAAAATATGCTTTTAGATCCTCTACATTGTGTATGCCATAATACATAAATCTGCTTTTTGCGAGGAAAGAGGAGATCTCGTTGGAGACTTGAACCCAAGGCCTGCACTCCATCGTAGCTCAGGTGGCTATATCTTGTTCACTGTGGTCTCCACAATTGTATTCTTCCTACCTGTACTTGTTGACATATGTTCCTTTGAAAGGATGTTCTTTTCAAAAATGCTGTAAAGTGACAAACTATTTTTTAAACCTTTACACAGTTACCTAGGAAAAAATGTTCAGTCCAATGGATGTACACTTATGTTTTGATGTTTATAAGTGTAACTTCAAACACTGTATTTTTTATTAAAATAACAAGAAGCAGCTCTTCATTCCTCAATTTATGCAGAAGTATGTCTTGTTTTCACATATACTATAGGAAGGGAATGCTTGCAAAATTGTTCGCAACTATGATTTAAATTATTTATTATAGTTTAATTTTAAACTTCAGATTCATTCTGTAAAATTACACTAGGGGTTGGTTATCTCTAGTCTCTGACTGCCAGAGCAACTCTTAACTACTTGATATAAGAAGTGCTGTATTTTTGTTCTAATTGCAGGTTCTGCAAATGCCTTTCAAATTTTGGTGGTTTCCATATTGTGAGTCATTACTAGTAAGCAGTATTATGTAGGATGAACTCCATTTTTTGTCAATATTTGCATCTAAAAATTTCCTTTGTTACGTTTTTGACTACACCGTACAGAGTGTAACTGCAGGCAGCCACTGAGCTGGTCCCTTCTACTCTCCCCCCGTACCCCCCTTACACCTCCTCACCACTTCTCATGCATTAGTTTTAACAATTAGGAGGCTGCGTAATCTTTACTTCTGATATCAAGAAGGCACAGGGATTTCGGGTGGCAAGGTGAGGCAAGGCAAGCGAGCAGGACTGTCTCTTTAGTAACTCCCAAGTTGCTTTTAATTAGATGTAATGTGAAGGTGAACCGTAAGGCCCCAAATTCATCATAATTTCAAACCTAGGTGATTCTGTGTAATGTCTGGAGCCACTTTTGACCTCATAGAGCAACTCGTAGTTGGGGAACAGTGGTTGAGGAGAGTCAAGAGGCTGTCAGTGTTACACGATTACTTTTCAGAGATGAAAAATGTTTAGGAGTCACTGGTGGTATCCTGACTATCGGATTGTGTACAGCTTTACCTTTAATAAGGCACTTGTTTTTATGAATGTTTTAGGAAAGGAATAATTTGAGTCATAATCACAAAGAGGTAAGTATAAGCACGATTATTTTGTATACATTTGCGTTTAAAAACACGCGAAACTCTGTAAAAGGACTAATAACTAAAGCTCACCGTTTCCAAATTGCACAGTATTTTTAAATGAAAAAGTCATTGAATTCAGCCCCCTCATCAAGATAGCCGCTCAGATTTCATCGAAATGGTTTGCAGAAAAGTAAATGAAATAGCAATGATTTTGCATCTACAAGGTACTGTATGTATCGCAGCATCTTACACATGCAAATCTTGATATGGTATATTAAATATGTATTACATCAGATTCCCGAGATGCCTGATTAGTTTTAATGTCAGTAGGGTGTGGTTTTGCAGTTGGCTTTTGTTGGTTTCTAAGAGTTCACGTTGCTCAAAGGAGGTGACCTGCCGCTTACCTTGTTGGCGCTGGGATTGTGTGGGCTGCACGGTGAGTGGGAATCAGCTCACGGATCCTACAGGATGCTAATCTGGGGAGGGAGAGAGGGGAAGACAGGCAACCTGTTGTGGCACAGTAGCTAGACCTGACCTGCCCCTTCTGGCAACAGCCTGGCTTACCGAGATCAGTCATGAAACCGCAGGCAAAGTCTTCTCTGAGGCAGAAGCTTAACTACCGCGCTTCACTACTTGCCTACAGGACCAAGAGCCTTCAGGATGTTACATCAGAGTTTCTGCTTTGGGTTAGAAATGCTAATGAAAAAAATACTGAAATCATGTTTAATATATTTTTGATTAAAAATGTCCATTATTACTGTACAGTTTGTTAGAGGTCTCCTTTGTTAGAAGCCTGATTAAATTTACTATGATAAAAGTATCTGATTTTTCAAGTGTTTTTCTGAAAAGTAAGACCTAAGCTTACGGTCATAGAATCATAGAATATCTCGAGTTGGAAGGGACCCGTAAGGATCATCGAGTCCAACTCCCTGCTCCTCTCAGGACTACCTAAAACTAAACTGTATGACTAAGAGCGTCGTCCAGATGCTCCTTGAACTCTGACAGGCTTGGTGCCGTGACCACTGCCCTGGGGAGCCTGTTCCAGCGACCGACCGCCCTCTCAGTGAAGAACCTTTTCCTCATGTCCAATCTGAACTTCCCCTGATGCAGCTTCATTCCACCTCCTCGTGTCCTATCGCTGGTCAGCAGAGAGGAGACGAGGACCTCCCCTGCCATTTCTCTCCTTGAGGAAGTTGTCGACGGGGATGAGGTCACCCCTCAGCCTTCTTTTCTGCAGGCTGAACAAACCAAGCGACCTCAGCCGCTCCTCGTAAGTCTTGCTCTCGAGGCCTTTCACCACCTTGGTCACCATCCTTTGGACACACTCTGATAGTTTGATGTCCTTCTTATATTGAGGTGCCCAAAACCACACACAGTACTCGAGGTGGGGCCGCACCAGTGCAGCACAGAGTGGGACAATCACTTCCCCGATCGGCCAGCTGTTCTGTGCTTGATGCACCCCAGGACACGGTTGGCCCTTTTGGCTGCCAGGGCACACTGTTGACTCATGGTCAACTCGCCATCAACCCAAATCCCCAGATCTCTTTCCGTGGGGCTGCTCTCCAGCCTCTCGTACCCCAATTTGTACGTATAACCAGGATTACCCCATCCCCGGTGGAGAATCTGGCACTTGCTCTTGTTAAATTTCGTACGGTTGGTGATTGCCCAGCTCTCTAGTCTGTCCAGATCTGTCTGCAAGGCCTCTCTACTCTCGAGGGAGTCCACAGCTCCTCCTAGTTTAGTATCGTTGGCAAACTTCCTTAATGTACATTCGACTCCTGTGTCCATGTAATTTATAAAAACATTGAAGAGCATTGGCCCTAAAATTGAGCCCTGGGGAACCCCACTGGTGACTGGCTGCCAGCCTGATGTAATCCCATTTACTGTAACTCTCTGAGCCCGACTTGTCAGCCAGTATTTTTGGGTTTTTTTTTAGATTAGCTATTAAGTCAGTAAAATCTTCCAAGAGTTTGTTAGGTTCTTCTTAGCTTAATCTGACTTTTTTTTTTTTTTTTTTTAAATTGATTAAATTTTACTCATGAACTAAGGAGCCTCTTGAATTTTTTTTTTTCTAAGTGCTATTTCTGTGAAAGCTTTAGTTCACATTCATGAGTGGTAGGTAACTGGTTTTCCATTTCATACTTGTCATTATGTTGAATGTTCACATTTAACCATTGTGATGTATACTTTCTGTTGATGTAAGTAAAATATGCCAATCACTTCAGCACGAAACATGGCTTTTAGTCTTGCTTCCTGTAGAAACACACATACACCTCGAATTTATTTTGTGTCAATATAAAAAGTTGTCATTGGTCTTGTGGACAGCCTTGATGTGGCTCCTGGAAAGGGGTAGAAAGAGCATTGGTGGAAGGAACCAGAAGTTGTGCTGGAGGAATTTATTTTCTTCATCATCTTTAGAGGTCCTGAAAAAAAAAAAAAAAAAAGCCCCTTACTCCTAGCACTCATTAATGTGCAGATACCCTTAAAAGAATAAAAAGGGAAGAGGAAAAGGAAGGAAAGGAACGTAGAACTTCAGTGCTATGTGCCAAGGCTGGAGCGGTTCTGAATGGATCTGTAACTTCACTGGGTGAGTGGGCAGCTTTGAGTGACAACGTAAACAGTTGGGGTGAAAATCAGCAATAAAACCACTCTCGTTATGAAAGGAGCTAATGCTACGTATCAGAGGACCAGTTCCTTGCAAGGTTTCCTCTTTTGATGACAATGAGGATGATGTATTGCCCTAATATTTCTCACCATCATGAAGGTTGTACTGGGTTTGGCTGGGATAGTTGATTTTCTTTGTAGTATGGTGCTATAGTTTGGATTTGTGATGAAACAGTGTTGATAACACAGGGATATTTCAGGTACTGCTGAACAGGAGTCAAGGCCTTTTCTGCTCCTCACACTGCCCCATCCGCACAAGAAGTTGGGAGGGGACACAGCTGACCCAAGGGACATCCCTTTTGTTTGTTTTGAGTTGGGTGTTGGTTTTTTTTTTTTTTTCAAACTTACTAAACTGTCTTTATCTCACCCCATGGGTTGTTTTCTCACCATTACCCTTCTGATTCTCTCCCCCATCCCACTGAGTGGGCAAGCCGCTGTGTGGTGCTTAGGTGCCTACCAGGGTATAAGCTCCACTTTTTTTTTTTTTTTTTTTTTTGGGTGGTGGGCGGGCAGCTTTGGTGACTTTACAGCTTTGGTGATCAAGTCTTGTGCTGGTAGCACACACTATATCCCATACCATTCTCTTTATATTCAAGGTGGAAGAAGCAATGAGAAACATTTCTCATGGGAAGTGATCAAAAATAATGAAGTAGAAATTTTTTATGTCAAGCTGAAAAAAACCTGAAGTTTTACAGCCATCTTTAAACTTAGTGTGTTGGTTTTTTTGGGTTTTTTTAAAGTGGATAAAAATACAAGTTAGCCACTCTTTCATTAAGCATAGTTACAAGTACCTCTTATTTTTTCCCCTAACATGAATGTCTCTTACCAGTCCATTCCTCAGCAAAACAAAGCTTTCTAAATGTTTTCTAATGCGCTTAATTACTTGTGGCCCTGCAGCCCAGCATAGGTAAGGGAGACGCCTGTGTCTCAGAGCAGCGGGATGTAAACCAGCTCTCCGCAAGCTGCTTCACCGCTGGAGCGCCGCTGCGCTCGGCAGCACCCGGTGCAGCCGTGCCTTCCCGGGCCGAGTCCGGTCCTGAGGGACCAGCTCAGCTCCCGCGCTACCTGCAGGAGGTTTATTACCCCATTGCACGGACAAACGTGCCTCTCAATTGGGTTTTTTTTTTTTCTTCCCCTGAATAAAACTGAGGAGAAGGCAAGGCCTCTCTCCACTGCCAAAGCTTCCAGATGAAAAATAACAATATTCACAGTGGTGGTGGGAAGGGGGGAGTGTCGTTATTTACGTCGCGCGTTTTGAAGCACCCAGAGCCCTCGGAGGAGCAGAGTTCAGAGCGCCCCAGCAATGACACCTTCAGCCCCAAGTTATCCTTGGGTTCTGTATAAAGGCATGGGGAAGAGATACAGCTTTCAACTCACTTATTTTGAAGTTCAGAGGGAGGCGATGTGGAAGTTAACTGAGGGTAAATGACACGCTTTAGAGATCTGTGCTCAATAGTCGTTCTTTTTTTTTTAAAGAAGAAAGAATTAAGCAGCAACTAACAATCTACAGAGAACTTTTATCCTGTAATACTCCATGGGACGTTGCACTTTGGGAGAGTACATGTGGTCTATCTCAGAAGATGGTGTAAGATCAGAAGAACTACTGGTGGAGACATTCCTCCGTGAGAGTTGCTTGCTCCAAAAAGGCCACAGCAGTAGCAGCACAGCATTTTGTTTCTGAGGATCTTGGTCCCCCGTATTTGGAAATTCAGGTAAGAGCGGAAGGTCCCCAGCGTTGTTCGAGCGTCCTGGGGAAAGTATCGAAGTCAGCATCTCTCCTCAAGTGCTGCTAAGTCCTGGCAGTCTGGTTGTTGCAATATACTTCAGCACAGCAGGCATTTGGCTGCTAGGAATGCAAACGCGGCCCAAGCCACCAGAGCAGCGCGCCAGCTGGAAGCGTCCCACGAGCCGCCCGTTGGCCCGTGCGATGTAGCATGGTATGACTTTGATCAGCGTTCATGTACGCAAGACTTGTTTGTACTAGAAAAGTGACTTACATGGTGAATACCACCTCTGGGAGTAAAGGATCTTTTGCTTATTTTACCCTGAAAAATACAAGCAAGTAACTGCTAGTTTGATTTCGCTTTAGCAATAGCTTCATTTTCTTCTGTGTAAGCCAATACTCATGTGTCCATTCCCTCCCTTACTTCTAGCTACTTCTATTTCCAAACTTCTAAATCCTCAAGAATGGCAAGCTTAGTTCAATTTGCCAGGTTTTTTTGATAAGAAGCATCTGCTACCTCATTAATTACCTTTTTTCAGGTGGTCAGAAAGCCAATGGCTTTAGCGTTTACTATCTTAATTGGTGGTAGATGTCACTGTTAATTCAACTATCAAAATTCTGCCCTTTATTTAAACCAGTAGAAGTTTATTATAACTTAAAATAGCTTCCGCTCCACATAGGAGTTCAAGGCAACTTTTGAGATGACCTACTACTTTATAGTTTTTTGCCAGCTCGCCTTCTAGAACCACCCAGCATCTCTCTTCCTTCGTGTAGGTGAACTTCAGAAACTATTTTTGGGAAAGGAGGGGAACAATAATAATAATAAAAAAAAATCCACATCCACAGGAGTTGCATATTTGTTGTACTGATATATTCCAGGCTTGTGTGGTTTTTACATTTATATAGTTTACATTTTGCTTGACCCATAAATAACACTTGCAAGATTAAGAGGGCCATAGTAGAGAGTATTTACATAGCCCCACCATGCATACAGAGCTTTTAATACCTAGTAGACAAAATCAAGCTGTTTTGCACTAAACATTTTTCAAATTTTTTCAACTTAAAACCCCTGACTAAAATACAAGCAATATTTCATCCGTAATGCTGCTGTTAAACCCCTAACAAATCTAGTTTGATACTGTAACAAACTTCTTCAAATTCAGGGATATAAAAATATTCAGCTTTTAAAATTTTAACTGTACAATATGTACATTAGTATTTGCACTGTTAAATTATGAATACATTTAAGCCTATGAAATACTACATTATAAATATCAATGGTTTTTTGATTTAGAATTGCAGCTAATACATTTTAAAACCTGGATAATGCATTTGAAAAGACACAATTCTGGAGCCTAATTCTTTAAGCCCTTATGAAAGTATTTGTTACTTAAGTAGATTCATTGACTTAAATGGGGTTACATGCCTGAGCAAAGGAGACCAGCAGTTGCACCTCTCTCTTTCACTGCTGGGAGGTGGGGGGCGCGGCATAAAAAAGCATCACCACTCATTGGCAGCTAAGTCCATTTCCAGCAGCTGAATTAATATCTTCCTTCAAACAGGCACACAGAAAACCCTTACAGAGGGATGGAATTCTTACAAAATTGTGGAGGGAAAAATGTGGAAGTTAAACCTATAAACCATTTACTGCTGCTTTAGGATACATCAAGGCCTCAAGCCTTTTAGCTCCCACATTCTGATTTTTGCCTCCTTAATAGTGGACTCTTTGGAAAAGGAGCATTTTCCCAAACAACAACAAAAAAAAAAATTCCAGTTTTTGTAAGGAAACGTGAAGGAGGAAGAGTGAGCTTTATCAGTGAAGAAAGGGCACAGTATAGAGCCTTCTTGGTGGTAAGAGGAAAAAGTCAAAGATCACCCTGTGTGGGTATAGCTATAGCACAGGACTGCCAATTTTATTTATTGATCTTTGTTGAATCCCCTCCCTCAGATAATTCAACATAGGTGAATAGCGAGCATAAAATAAAATGTCTACAAAACGTCTGTATCAAGAACTGCAATAACTATTTTGACAGCTGAAACATAATATGTAAACCTAGCAATATCTGAGCAGATCATCGTTTGGCATGGTGACATTTCTGAATGTTACTTGTACAATGTAAACTGGCAGGGCTATCATTTACACTGGCAAAGCATTAAGAACCTTAGCAACTTGCCTAAGTACAATTATTAATATAAAAAGATGTGGTTCAAACTGTAGCTACAGAGTTGACTGGTCTTCCCAACTGTTAGAAACAAATTAAGAAATGATGCAGTTTTTTCCTTTGTGTCCCCTCTTCTTCTTTGATTTGGTTGTCCTTTGTCCAAACTGAGAACTAGATAATGCAGTAGTTGGACCAGAAAGGTCATCTGTATAGTATGGATATCTCAGTGATCGCGGCTGTGGAATTGGCTGTCCTAGAAAATATCCTTCCTCTTCAGAATCGGATGATGAGGATGAAGTTGAACACCAGGAGTCATCTTCCTCACCATACAATCCAAAAAATTTATCAACCACCTGATTCCGCAGTGCATAATCAGACCTAGTATGGGCATATTGTCCATACAGCTCCGCATTTTGAATATATGCCCGAATCTCACGTGAGCTTCTATTTTGAATAAATTTTTCATGATCCTGAGGGGAGTAATAACGAAATCTCTCTCTTGGAGAGCATCTTCTTTCTGTGGCCAAGTTAAGTGCATTATCTGAACGAGACTTCCTACTTCTTCTACGATGATGAGAAGGCCTATTTCCACGCTCTTCAAAATGGTAAACACGCCTACGAGTCCTTTCACTCATTGGAGGCTGACGTATTTCAACATTCTCGTAACTTCCATTATCAATAACATCATCTGAAAACTTCACTTGCTGTGGTCTAGACTGGGATTTAGATCTTCTCAGTACAGGCATATGCACTGGCTTTTCCTCTGGTAAGACCTTTTCCTGACACAACTCTGAGCTCAGACTCTTCAAGGACTCTGTGCTCCGGTGGAGCATTGAAGAATTCAGAGTTCCCATGTTGCTCATTTTCTCACAGTCCTCTACCTCCAGTTCTTGGAAAGTTTGCAAAGAATAGAGAGATGGCCGTGGCTTGCCTTCTCCATCCATTGAAGCCCCTGTAGTGGGAGTGGAGAAAGGAGGAGAAAGAAAATGAGAGGACTATAAAAGAGATAAGTAGTATAACAAAATATTAAACATTTATTTTCAATAAAGCAGACCTTATTAGTGTTTTTTTGGAACTATTACCAAAAGGACTAGTTTCATAGAAGAATATGCTTTGGTTTGACTTAGAACATTTAAGCATTAGCTCTGATTACCAAAGAATTAGCTAACATTAGGACATCAAGAGTGGAAGTTTAATGAGTTTAAAAAATTTAAACAGCTCTAACATGCATACAGCTAAGCCTCTAAGAAAAAAAAGAATGACTTAAAATTATTCTACAGTCCGTGCTTGCCATTTTTAAGGCTGAAATATTTCATGTTTCTGGTATCACTAAATTGAATATTCCAGCTGTTGCTGCAGGAAAGCTAGGCTTACTGCCTCGCAAAGAAGGATCCTTACCCTCCAAAAATCATCAGCAGTCAGCTGGCCTGGTTTACTCCAGGTTTGTGTCCAATGACCCTTCATTCCCACACCAGCAGCATCATCCGCCCTGTGACGTTCCCAGGTGCAATACCTCTAGTTCCTCCCCCTCCCATGCCCCCTGAACCAAGCTCCCTTCATCAGTTCCTTCACTACTGCTTGGACAATGCAGCATGGGTTCAGTCCTGAGCTACACAAGTAGCTACAATAATTCAGATTACAGAAGGAAAGGAATGGAGAAGAGGATAGGACAACTTTTAAAATGGGTCTCTCATACCTAACTCTCAGGTTTGGGTTTTTTTCAGGGAAATAAGAAAGGAAGGTTAACACACACAGAGACACTTGCATATCTGACTTTTATCCGTTTGGCTAATTTCAATCATGTTTGACAAGGAGGTTCACAGAAGTGGATTATCAGTTTCTCTTTAGTCAATGGAGAAAGATAATCTCATAAACCTCACTTCCTAAGGCTAAGAAGGTTACCATCCTCTCAGATTTTCTACACATTTTTACAAGTAAATCAGGAAATTATCTAAAGTGTTTTGCAGATTATCTTTAATATTATCCTAGTATATAATGTAACTTCTTGTATTTAAGGTATGGGAAAAAAAAATCTTCATTTACTTAAAGCGATGGTTTGTATATAACAAATGCACAGATAAGACCATTCTTACTCTATTTGACATTACGGATTTTTTTTGTTATAAGCAGAGGAAAGAGAATTCAAAAGGAAAGGAGAATAATTTAAATAGAGTTTAAGTAGCAAAAACGTATCTTGTGGAAGAACATGCGCTTGATAAATGCTATTGCCTGCTTTACATGTTATCTCTTGCTACTAAAGCTTTTTAGAAATCACAGATATGAAAAGTCTTAGTTCAAAATACTCCAACATGCATGCTTTGGTTGATCTCTCCATCAAAACCATTCATTTTTTCCTCCTGTTATGTTAGATAAAGCTACCTTTATTACCTGTTATGTTAGATAAAGCCAAAGAATCCATTGAGTCTCGAACACTTTGTTCTTGCTGTTTCAGGTCAGACAAACATTCAAGTGAACCTCCGTACCATGGTGTTTGGTCATGTTTGTATCCCGACGCCCCATGTTCCATGTCTAGCTCCTGGATTTTCCTGCTGCTGGCAGGGCCTGGGTGGCTGCCATAGGCAGAGTCACCCAAGCCATCTTGTGACTGGGCCCAGTACATGTCTGATTGATACTTCTTACTTGCTAGGCTTGGATTATTCTTTTTCAAGTCCAACTTGCTCTTGACCATGCTATCAGAAATCCAGTGTTCGCTTGATCTAATGTCTACTTCAGCAGGCTGCTGGAAGAGGCTTTTATCACCAAACTTCAGAAGAAGTTGAGTCATGTAGTCTTCATGTTCAGCCCATTCTTCAGGGTCTTCAGGCATTTCTTGCTCTACTCTTCCTTTCCAGAAGTCTTCATTAACAAAGCTTGCCTCTTCCCTTGAAAGGCTTAAATCATCTAGCTTACGAGAAAGAGTATCATCGGCATTGCCTGAAAGGCCAGGAAATTTGTAATTGAGGGCCGGTGACAGGAGGAGAGACTGGCGGCACTGGTCAGCTGACCGGCTGCTTTTTCCCATGCGGACGCTCCTCCTGGAATCTCTGGATCGAGCAGACTGAAACGCAGAATCAGAAGAGTCGGAGGCATGAACATCCTCTCCCAAGCTGCAGGTTTTTGAGCAGTAAATCTGCCCTTGCTTTGGAAGGAAAGGGCAGCCAAGCAAAGAGGTCTTGCACTGAGCACAAGAAAAGCAAGTCTCTGTGGCATGCCAGTGCTGTCCATCATAGGTCATCTGAGCATGGTCAACACCTGGAAAGGGAGAAAAAGCAATGCTTTGGATTTCTCTGAAAAAAAATTACTTGCACAATCCACATTTCTGGAATATGAAATAATTTCATAAATTGGCTTTCCCTTAATTTATAAATTTAATGCTTAAAAAGGCCATACTTACCAATGTGTTCCCCACAGGTCTCACAGTATTCCGCATAGAGAGATTCAAAACAGTTACAGCAGAATGGTCGCCCATCCTTCATGATGTATCTCTGTCCACCCAGGATTGTTTCACACTCGAGGCAGCAGAAGTGCTTCATGTGCCAGTGGCGACCTTCAGCTTCTGTACACTCATCAGCAAAAATGATCTTTTCAGAGACAGAAAGTAAACTTTTAGTTAAGTGGCCAAAACCTCACCTTGGGAGTTAGAGCATGCAAAATATCCTAACTATGCAGTTCACATGCTAAATTTATTTTTCTTCAGCTGCCTTTTGAATACAAAGGTAGAAACAAAGTCTCCCATAGCAACTGCGGCATTCTGACCTTTTCTATAACAAAAAAAAAAAGAAAAAGAAAGAAAACCTCTACTTTTTAAAGTTTAAAAAAAAAAAGAAAACATAAGAACTCAACCATTAAAGAAGCTGCTATCAGGATGATATTTTGGAATATTTGTACAGATCTTTTTTCTAATTCAATCTACAAGATTCAATACTAAATACAAGCAGGTATGTGCTTTCTAAATACCATCATATTGCTTGTTACATTGCCAATTTGACAAGAAATGAAATGCCCCTCAGCCTTCAAACACATCTATGCAGCAGAGTCCTCACTTCTTAAATGAATGCATCTGAAGTTATTAATTGCCCAAATGATGCAGTTTGTTAACTGAACAACAGGAGCATAGATTGGCTGTAAAATGTGAATTACTTACCTCATCGCAGGCTGAACATCGAGGTTTGAGAAGTTCAGCGTGGTGTCTGCCACAGTGAATTTTTCCATCTTGGTAGAAGTAGATAAGGTCAACGAGCAGCTCGTTACACGTGAAGCACACAAAACAGGAGGGATGCCAGCACACACCAGGCCCAGCTCTCGAGGCAAAAACTGCAACTTCACCACCATTTACTTTTGTACCACACTAGGAACAAAACCAGAAAGTGAACACACTTCCCATCCCAAACTACTGGCTTCTAGCATTCTAAGTTAGAACACCAAACCCAACATGCAGGTTTCATTCCAAATTTATGAAAAGAGGGAAAAAAATTTTCTTAATTTTGGTCTACAGAAACTCTATGCATCAACAAACCTTTTGTGCATAGAAGTCTATTTTATATGTAATAACATTTTTAAGTATATGCCCGTTTTTCATTTGTCGTTACTTTAGTATGAGTCAGCAACAAGGTTTTTTTGAGTAGGAAGTATATCAAAGATTCAGTTCATTCCCAGTATCAAAGGTTGTGTTTTGCTTAAGCAAGCACTACCTTCTTTCTAGTTACATGCAGTTTCAAAAATACTCTTTTTTTCTTCCTTGCGTTCTGACATGGACAGACAAGCTTACACGTAATACTGAGATACTATAGTTTTACATTATTCAGCCCGCTAGTTGGCTTGCGGCACCAGTAATATTACCTGTTCACAAACCGCATGCATTACTGCTCTTGAGAGTAGTTTAATAGTGCCTCGGCCGAGTGCCTCCTTTTTGCGCTGAGAACTGAACATCTGCAGTTCCTTCTTTTCTTCTTCACTTAAAGACTGGCAGTATCTCACCTTCCAGTGAAAACACAGGAGAACTTATTTTGGGTACTGGGCTTTTAAAGTAACAGGTTAGTAAGTAAGTGCATATATGCAAGAAATTCACCAGGCGTGCTGGCAATCATCATTAAACTCTTCCAATTTGTCTTCTCTACCGTCTTAATATTTAGCTAATATGGCATAATACAAAAGTAGTACGGAGAGAGATTTTGCATTACAGGGAAAAAACCTACCATACTAAACTAAGAAGTTGTCTAGGCAAGAAATAAAATTTTAAGCAGCCAAACCAAAACCTGCTGCTATCCTAAAATAATGGAATGAACCTAAATCAGCCATAACATTGTCCTTTAGATTTATGGTTAAGTGCCCACAACTAAGTGTTGCAGTATACACAAGATCTTAAGTATTGACACCCCCGCCCCCTTTCCTTACAAAGAGCTTGTTTGTTATTTCCACTTCTACTCCAAATTACACTGCATATCTGAGATGCAAACCTTTTACTATCACAAAGCATCCTTTTTCTGTGCTACAATGCAATTCCAGGAATTTGTAGGTTCCTGGTAATTGGTGGGTGGCTGCAAACACTATAAAACCAACTTGTGTTGAGTTTATTGCAGTGACACCAGCCTCCCTAACAAGCAAAGGCAGTGTCCTTCCAGACAGCTCTTATCTGCACACAAGCCAGCCGGACAGCCGAACAATGGACTCAGTGTACGCACCGTGCTGCTCTATAGGTCAGATGCCACTGCAGGCCAGGCTTTAGGCTTGTAATAAATACACAGGCAGGTAATTCCCCACGTAAAAGCCGCCAGGGAGACCTAAGCCCTGACGGTGCATCCCAAATTCTCTATTTACCTCATTATCGTGGGGTGGCAGCTGATAGAGAAGTTGTTTAATTCGGTGTTTCTCTCCGGGGCTGTTAACGTAAGGGACCTTCTCCTCTGGCAAGCAGGCGAAATACAGCTGGACCTGAGCAGGAGGAACGCAGAGTTCAGACTGAGGGACGCACATCACCCAAGCACCACCAGCGTCCTTCAGCTACTGTTTTATCCCGGGTCTCATTTACGAGGGAAGAAGGTTACGCTACATTAGACCTGTGACAGGGTTTGTGCTGAAAATACGAGACCCAGATGAACCAGCTCAGCAAACCTGAATTGTCTCTGATAAAACTAGCACCCAGCTGCTGAATTGCTTTTCTGGAATGCAATTTGCAGTGACAATTAGGGGGGTATCATAAATTATGCACATTTAATGTTCTCATTATTCCCACCCCCCTTCAGGGCTGGTCAACAGCCCCGTAGAAATTCCAAGTTTCCCTCTGCAATTTACCACACAAGGCATGAAGCTTTCCAGAAAACAGCCACTATATAAACAAATTTAATTTGCTCTCTGCATTTTACACATTGTTGAGACAAAAGCTGTTTTGTAGTCTCTTGCTGATCAGGTTCACCCAAAGCATCAGCTTTCATTGCTTCCATGTGGGCTTTGGTAAGAAGGTGGAAACATCCTTCCCTTGGGAGGAGGCTGGATCCAGCCACATTTCAATCGGATGCAAATTAACTATGAAATTTTCACGGGCTGCGTGTTTTTGATAAAGAAATCAATATTAGGTGTACACACCTACCAATCTTCACTTCCCCCCGCCCCCGAAGAAAATTATGACAGGAAAGCTGTAATGAACACTATGACAAAGTCCAATGGCAAAAAATATTTTTGTGGAACAGCTACAGATTTATTGTTTTTCCTATGCAGTTTCCAGCTTGTCACGAGGCCTGGGGCTGTAAATAAGAGCAGACTATTGGAAAAAATATTACTTGCCATCCAGATTTAAATAATGCTGAGGTCAACAGCTTATTACTGTGCAAGACAGATGAAAAAGAAGCAGTAATCAGTCACTTGACTCAGGAAGCAAGGGAAAGGTTGTACGAAACATGATTTGGTCTTCATTTAACCAAAATTTAAACATCAGAAGTCTACTGTAAGCCTACTTACTACTGACTGTATTTCACAAAGCTGTAGGAAAAGATAACAACATGCAGTGCAAAGTGAAGCTTTAAAGATAATTTATGCCCTTTTCTCAAGTTTATTGCACTGTTCTCAAAATAAGTAATTCTTAGGAAAAAAAAAAATCTTTAGTGAGTTTGAGCTAGCTGGATTATGAGGATATTTTATGACATTTAATTGTTCTGGCAGAATGTTAGCTTGCTGTTTACCTTAAGGTCTGATTCATCAGGATTCTTCTATATGCTTAAGTAAGTGATAAAAAGAGTTTCCCTAAAAATAGCTTATTACTTGCTATTCCTGCT